CATCTGAATAGTTTAGACTATCCAGGACAACAAACAGGGATCTACAGGGGAAAAAAATAATAGAACTATTGAGGCAATGATAATGTAATGAGAAGACTACTACACAGTATACAAAAACCCAATACAGTAGAACCTCTGGTCGTGAATGCTTCGAACCATGACCATTTTTTTCCCATGGCTGATTTCCCCCCCCCCCCTTTTTTTGTAAGTATCAAATTTCCAAAATTAGGTTCAGGTCACGACCAAATCAGTTTGAGACTAAAGTTATGGAACAAATTATGGCTGTGGCCAGAGGTTCTACTGTACTGTAATAATGAAATGAAAATAAACATAATTGTGCATGAGATTATGACATTAGTCTATTTCCCTTATACTGATTACATTAAAGTTTTTTAAAATATACCAATTCAAAATAGTTATACCTATCAAAAGATCGGTTGTGGGATGTAGTTCTATTGCCCTGAATTTCTCTAGTCAAATGCCACATGACGGAGAATCTGAACAGTGCTTCCAGCCGCATACACTTGCAGGAAAGAAATCCAAAATAAAAGAAAAATAATTAAATGTACTATATTTAAATACACATATTTCTCTCATTCAAACCTACAAACCTTTATGCGAATTAAGGAACATGGAAATAATTTGCTGATATGGGAAGCAGTACTTAGTATTTACTGTATATGTTTTTTTCCTATATGTAGCTAAAGAAATCATAAACCATATGAAGAATGGCTGTAGGTTTTGGGTCTGGCTAGTTTAAAGAAAAGAATTAGGGATGACATGGTAGCAGTATTCCAGTATTTGAGGAGCTGCCACAAAGAAGATGGGTCAAATTATTCCCCAAAGAACCAGAAGGTAGGACAAGAAATAATGGTTGGAAACTAATCAAAGAAAGAAGCAACCTGGAACCAAGGAGAAACTTCCTAACAGTGAGGACAATTAACCAATGGAACAACTTGCCTTCAGAAGTTATTGGTGCTTCATCACTGAACGTTTCAAAAAAGAGACTGGACAGTCATTTGTCTGAGATAGTATAGGTTCTCCTGCTTGAGCAGGGGGCTGGACTAGAAGACCTCCAAGGTCCCTTCCAGCTTTATTCTATTCTAGAAATCAATATTTACAATTCCATAAAAAATTAAAATGGAAATTAATATATTTTTAGACAATATCAAATTTAAAATGGCAGCAGCCAAACTAACAATTCTTCTTTAATATTTACCAATCATAGAAATAAGGTTTAGGAAGAAAACATCATTAGCCTCAGGAATTATTGATTGATTGAGTGTATTATTTCTTCATTTTTGAACAATTTTTATAAGTAAACAATTTTAAATGTTTAATTTTAATTTTTTGTGAACTATAGTTCACTTCATCAGATGCATGGAATGGTTAAACTGATACAGGATTTAAACTGGGATGATGAGGTGGAAAAGAGAGGGAGGAAAAGATAGACTGGTTATATAGATACAGGTTATATGTGAGACAGATTACACATACTGTACCTTATTAATTAACATTGTAATATGATAAAAAGACATTGTATTGAGAGTTTTTGAAATAGCCTGATATGTGACTTTAGCAATGTTTTACTTGACTGTGATGTTAAAACTTCTTTTTTTCAAAATGTTACTTTGAGATCTGTGTTATAATATCCTAAGGAGTTAAAATGTTCTAGAATTCCGTTATCCTTGTTTTTACGATGTCAAACCTCTAATTATTTTCAATTTTTATGCTGTTTTCTTCATCACGTCTTCCACAACTATGCATACGATTACGATATTGGAATTTCCCTGATACACAATATATTAAAATATGTACCATCTTCTATAATAGTGGTAAGGACCTCGAAATACTGCTGAATTATAATTTTGCATAACAGAAATTATAATTATTCATATGTTATGGAGAATTTTAACTACTTTGAAGTTTGACCCTGGCATACTGTTCAAGAAGCCCAAATAAAACTGGGATGAGTTGATTTAGGTAGGGTTGCAAAACACAAAGCCTTACTTTATCATGATCCAGTAATGCAAGGCAGATAATATCTTCACAGATATTAGCAGATGGAGCTAGACAATGCAGACGATAGAACAGTTCTACACAGGTATTGTGATGTTCTCGTGTCTCTTTGTTTAGCTGATTCCAAAGCACCTGAGCAACTCTCTGTTGTAATTAAAAAAAAAAAAATATCAAATTATCCATTTTAGATATATTTAACACAGGATAAAGAAAGCTCTATATTAATGAAAAATATTGGTCTTAATTTTCATTTACTCTACATTAAATTGTATTACAATATTTAATACATATTTTCTCCTATGGATATATCGAGAAGTTTGAATGCTTTTAAGAATTAATTGGAAAGAAACAAGTTATTAACAACATTCTTTATGTTCTTATTTTTTATTGCGATTATTCACAGTTGCTTACAATCTTCAATCCTGGCCACTACAATGCTTAGCTACCTTAATAAAGAATACTGATTGTAGGTTATCTTGGATGGAATTGTCACATGCTATTGTAAATTATTCTTTTCTTTCCATTTTTCTTTCTGCTACTTCAACATCTCTAGTACAGTGCTTTTAGTTCAGTGATTCTCAAAGAGATATCCTTGGCACAATAGTGCCATGTTACAGAAAAGCCTCTTGTGTCGACTCAAACCCTGTTTCTCCATATTCATTGCCAATGGACTAATTCATTGAAGCCTACAATAATACAAGCAACAACATGAAAACTAAAATAGAGGCTGACTTCATTACCAAAGTTGCCCTAATTACTGACTATGGGTCAACATGTATTGTGCTAGCTTGAATTGCAACCTTACACCAGTTATCTAAAAAGAATAGGATAAATAATAACTATGTCAACAAAAATCTAAACTGGGATGGAGAGTCACTTGACTGTAGTTCCTTAGTACTCATATTTTCTACTGAATTGGTTGCTGATTAAGTTTGTGCTCAGAGTTGTTATTATGCCATTGGTTTTGGATAGTAATTATGATTAAAATGTTCTACAAAATATCATTTCATAAGACCTTTAATAAAGGAAAGATGAGAAGGCCTGTTGTAATGCAACTATAAATGTGATTCTGTTTGCTAAACCTGTGAGCTCCCATGATGTTAAAAGCAAAAATGTAGGGAAAAAATATTTGTTTAACTGGTTTTCCCCACACCTGCTTAAGTGGCTCTATTATTTTGTTGGATTAGTTTAAGTAAGGAAAGTAATAACAAATGCTATTGGCTATCTTCAGGTAATAATAAGGTCGAGCTGTAAATATTCCATTGTCTCATATGCACAAATGTCTTAAGTGGGAAAAAAAAGCACAGCACCTGATAGAAATCAGTTTTTTCTGAAATTAGCTTTAGGATTCCAGGAGCAATAGGAGGAATTGTGACCATCTGCAGTCTTCCAAAGAAGGGGTTTTGCCCAGGAATTTTATATCGTTTAATTCTGTCTTCAATAACCAATGCCAGTGACTGGGAATGGTTGATTACTTCTAGCAGTACAGAAATGGCCAAATTCTGAATGTAGCAGTCATTAACACAGCAACATATTGTCATCAAGGATTTAAGCCACAAAGGAAAACTGGATTCACTGCCTCCTAATGAAAGTGATAAAGAGTTTGGTGCATTATTCAAACAATCATTAACTGGTGATTTGAAAAGTATAAAAATGATGTTCCCATATTGAATTGTATTTATTAAATTTATATTTAGTGTGTATTCAAATATTTTTAGCAAATATTCAACTATTAAATCTCAGTATTTGTATTTGGGAATGTATATAAATGACCTATTATTCCAACAGTTTTATGAATGAATTAATGAATACTTCTTTTCCTAGTGGCATTCAATATTCCAAAGCTACTAAGAATGCTTAGTCTCTTCGAACTATTTGCTTACACATATATGGTGGTTCTTAATATGAAACAGCAATTATTGAAAAACATTCCAATAACTTAATTTTTCATAAACTTTACTTTGTTGCTAATCCAGCTGGTACACATTGTTTACTAGTGGCGACATTTTTCCTGATAAAATGCTGATTAAGTTATTCAACAAATTATTAAGTAATTCTTAATTGATTTTGCAAGGGAAATATGGAAACACCACCCACAGATGAGCATATACTTTAACTGAATAGTAGGATCCGATGTATTCAATGTGTATTCAACTCCTTAATTATATTTATAGATATGTAGATTTTAGGTTAGCATTTGTGAATATTTCCCTTGAAAGTCTCCTTATTTAGCATTCTTCTGTGATGTAAATTATCAGAATGCTAGAATGAGAATGTTCTTCTTACCAGGCACTTGAAAGAGTGACAAATACAACAGTTCGGATTCTTCTTCAGAAAGATAGACCGGAAACGTAGTGCAATCCAATAAGAGATAGCACAGAGCTGAAAAGGTCTCTCTGCAATCCTCTCGTGTAGCTCCCAAATCAAATGTAACTCGATCAAGGTCCCAATCTTTCTCTTCTTTATCCCTTGGATTATCACATTCATCAGAAGGGGATGAAGGCTTCAAACCTTTCTGTTTAAAAGGTGATCCTCGTACGGTGAAGAAATCTGATAGCATTTGCTTCAACTGAGGCACCACTATCTGCCTGGAGTCATACAAGTGCCTTTTGTCCTCAGTATTTATGGCAACTTGGTAATTATTCTCTTTGTTGTTTCCTTGACTGACATGGACTTTTGAAACATTGTCATTATTGGAATTCTGTAAATGAATCTCAAATATATGTTTACTGGCAAATTTGGCAACCAGTTCCTGGATATAGTGCAAAGTCATCTGCAAGCTTCCACCCTTTTTCCAGACATCATCTTTGTCAGGGATTATCCTAGGCATCCTCAAATGCTGTAACAGTTCAGGAGATGAAGCACTAAGAGCAATGCCGCTGTCTTCAGATTTTATTGAAGGTAAAGGAATGTCTTCTTCATCTTCTAGTACCTTGGATTCTGAACTTATTTCCTGGTTGTCTTCCTTTACAGGACTCTGCAATATTGCAATGAGTATGTCTAGTACATAAGTATGTATTTATTTTATACAACAGCAAAAGAAAACCTTATGTAAGAATAAACATATCCTTTAGAGTTAAGAAGACATATATTAAAAGTTAACATTTAAATTCTTGCTTAAGTATTCAATTGAACTTGCAGAGGCAACCTTCAGTTCCAAAGCCCCAGATGGCCTTGGATTCTTTTCTGCAGCCCTCAGTGCTTGTAGGGACCATAACTGCCAAAATATGGGAATAGAGGGTTTTTTGTCATTTTGAGGTAGAAAATAGATTAATCTATAGTATGAGCCCTAAAATTGGACTATTAATATTTAAAAAAGAAACGAAGAGGACCTCTCAAATTGTTCCCAATACACTCTCACCCAAGGACGTGCAGTCAGGGGAGGGAGGGCCTCACCACTGTCATCATGAAAAAGAAAAACAAATTTAAAAGGGTTAAAAGGCGAAAAATTCCTTATGCAAAGAAGGCACATGGTTCTCTCGCCTCCTCCTGCAGAGGGCACTTTGTTTAGAGGCTTTTTCTTTAAACAGTTAAGCAGAGTCATCCACATGGTGACTCTAGCAGCAACTATCCTAGCCTGGCTAGAGCAGCTCTTGCCTTTTTCTTTTTACATTTTCACATTTTCATCGTGGCAGACAAGAGGAGAGTTGAAATCTTCTGTGACACAGCTGGAAAAGGTATGTGGGTCCTGGTTCGGAGGGAGGGGGGGAGGAATTCAAAATTATTTGTAAGTAATTGTAATTTGTATTATTATAAGTAAATTTTGTGTGTTTGTGTGTTTTTTACCCGCCTCTGCTGCCGCGTGGGCTGGCACTTTCTTTCTTTTGCCAGGCCCCTCGCACCCGCGTCCAGCCCGCTGCAGCTCGCCGCGCCGGGGGAGGAATGGGCTGGATAGGCTGGCAAAGAGAGGCGCAGGCTGTCAGGACAAGCGCCGCAGCAGCGCCCAATCCGGAGCGGAGCGCTCGCCTCATGACGGCACATGGGGGAAGTTCTGGCAGATAGAACGGAGCGAGCCGGAGGGTGGGTATGGGGCTTACAGGGCCGTCCGGAGAGGCGAGCTTCCTGGAGGCTGGTCTCCCGCACCCCACACCCTCCCCTCCAGCTGGGTGACACCGCCGAGCTCTTTGCCACCAGCGACTCTTGGCGCTGCTGGAAGAAAGAGGTGGGCATGGAGTTTGTTTGCCCCCCTGACTCTGCCTTGCCTGGTCACACCCCCTTGCCCTGTGGAGGGCTTGCCCGGTGAAGAAGACGCCTGGAGGGTTGGTGCCAGCAGGCAGGCAAGCGGGGCGCAGAGGGAGGGAAGCGCCGCTACAGGTAGCTCGAGGCAGCGTGCCTTGTCACAAGTGGCTCTCCAGCCACCTGGAAGGAAACAGCGAGTCAAAGAGTGGGCACCCCGCGAGCGAAGGGCCCGCTGGGGGCCGCAAGACTGCTTCATTTCTGACGGGTAGTTCTAAGCGAGGCAGCAAGAGCGCGCCAAAATCAGTGCCCTGTCAACCCCTCGGTTGCCCCCCCACCTCTCTCGAGCGCATGTCTGTTTTTTTTTTTACATAAAAGCATAAAGGAAAGCCGCCCCTGAAGCCCCGACACATCCCGCTCTATGGTGGATGCAGCGGCCATAGAGCGGGATGCACTGGCAGACATAGGGCAGCTTTTGCCCTCTTGCCTCACCAGCCGTGAACCTCACCGCACGTCACTGTTTTCACCCATGTGTGATGTAACCCCACCACTCCAACTTCCACCTCAAAAGGTTAAGTGCAGTCCTTGGGTGCCAAATGCTTGCTTGATCCAACTTGGTCCTCTCCTACTGAGAGTGTCAATCGGTCCTGCCTCTTTTTCTATTTGACTTTCATTAATACAGCCACAAGCATTTTCTGCTGTGTAAGACTGGATGCCAAATATGTGTTATATTTCACACAAAATAAGAATGTTCAATTGCATTTGCTTAAGTACAAGAACCTTAATAAAGCAGAGTCTGAGATTACATGAATAGCTGCACATATGTTCATAAACAGACGAACACAATAATACAAACATAGAACAGGAAAAAATGAATATGTACATCTCTTAGTCTCAAAAGTTTAGAAACAAGAATCAACTATTATTTTAAAACAAAAAAAAATATGCTCCAAGAAATAAATAAAAATCTGTTCTTAAGCCATCTTTCCCTATGATATATTTAAATAAGCACAATTTTAGTCCATACTGTATTATAATTTCCTATATAGATATTGGAATTGTAGAATTATTAGAAAATTAATGTTGTTTTAGAGAACTAATAATTCTCACAGCTAATTGAACAATTTTATGCCAACTATTGGAATGCAGCCACCAGAATCACTCTGGTGATTCAAAATACAAATATATATATGGTATGGCCTTAGTAAGTAAATAAACTCATGCCAAAATGGGTCAGAAAAACATATTAATACTTACAGAGTCTGAGCTTCCAGTTTCAGTACTCAGGTAGGCAGATGGCATTTGCACTTTACTAAGCACTTTAAAACATGTTCTTAACATGTATGTGAACTCTGATAAACTTAGTACTTCCATGTTTTCAAGAAGACTTTGTACCATACAGTTGAGCATTTGTGGCAGATACAGAGACTGTACTTCAGAATAAAGTTCCTACAAAAACAAGATGGTTCAAGGAAGCAAGCACTTTAAAAAGACTTGAAATTAAATCCAAATAAAATGAGAAAATATAATCAAGCCTTGACAGTGGGACTGCATCAGCTCAGTGGATCTGGCAGCATCTTAGCAGTTGCAAAAAAAAGTAACACTTGTATAATTGTGTGTCAGTTGTGAGTGCTCTGAAGCCAGTCAGACTTTGCTGAGTCATAACATAATATGATGCTTTGGGACTGTTCTTCAATTGATTAATAGTTGGGAACTAACCTGGGCATAGTATTATGATCATATTATATAAATAATGCAAGAGTCATTACTAGGCATTCATTATTGTGGAATTAAATTCAATGTGTTGGCTTTATATTTTAAAGAAATACACAAGCCAATATACATAGGCCTTGGCTGTCTCCCCGTGAGTTCATTTGCATATTAAGATCTTCAAAAGTCCTTCTAGTTACCCTTGCTTGCAAAATTCCACTTGTTTGGCTAATGAAAATAAGGTTTTTTCCTTTTTATATTTCCCCCCTTTTTTATTGAATACATATAAACAAATAAGATGCAGTAGGAATAAATAAGAAAAATAATAAATAAATAAAGAGTTTATAGGTATCATGGAGGGTATATTCTGCCATTTTTCCTGTCATTAATTGTGAATAACTGAATTTATTGATTCAAAAAGCTAAAAAGTTGCCATTAATTTCTAAGAAAACAATGAATATTAGTAACTATGATCAAAACAGTATAAGTCAACAAATGAAATTATGAATTATAATAATTTATGTTCACATTCCTAAAGATTATTCAAATTAGAAATGCTATAAAATTGAAGCAGAATGTAAGCGTAGTGAAAACCAATTCTTGGTAATGGTACAAATATATGTCTTGAGAATAAGGTAAAATATTGGTTACAAACTGTAGAATAAATTTCAACTGCAAGTGGTCTTTCATATCTCACATTTTATTTGTTGATTTGCTGAATTGTTTTGTAGTTTTATTCCTTTCTGCTGATCGCTGCTTGTTTTGTAGAAACATGAAATGTTTTTCATAATTTAACATAGCATGGAAATATATTATGTCAAAATATAACTCTAAATAACTCCAGTGGAACTATAGCAGTGGTGGGATATGACTGGTAGACCCCGGTACGGGCATACCGGTGCCTGCTGGGAGCACCAGGTACTGTTCTGCTATGGTGCTCCGGCTGGCCCACCCACCTGCTCGCTCTCTTTACCACTATTTGAGCCGATCAGGACATTTGCGCATGCACACGGAGCATACAGCGCCTGCGTGACGCTCAATTGAGCAGCTGGAGCGTCACAGGCAGTGGGTACGCATGCACGCATTGCGTGAGTGGACATGGTGGGCACCTGGCCCTGTTCCAGCGTACCGGTTGCAACAGGGTCTGCAACCCATCACTGAACTATAGCCCTGCATAAAAACTTCCTTTGGCAAGTAGAACACATCTATACATATTGAAGAAATAATTTACATAAATGGCTTAAGAGACAAAATTAAACATTTTGACTTACCAGTGGTATCACATCTAGAAGAAACACTGTTAGTGTGCAGAGTTCTGAAATTGTTGCACCATTAGTTAGCAGTTGTGTCTGTGTGGATTTATTTTTGTCGCTGAAAAAAAAGGATAACTTTTTTTTTTTAAAAGCCTTTTCATTCAGGTTTGATCATAGTGTAATTTTCAATAGAAATGCAATTAAAAACAGTAGCATATAAAACATACATTGAACTGGTTGTGTGCTTCTTCCAAAAACATTTTTAAAACCCAACTTCTCCAGATATTATTCTTTTGTTTCTCAAATCAAGCACTGCATTTTCTAAAACATATTAGAAGGCATATTTTAGTTGATATTAGGTAACCTATGCTCTGTTGGATCATTATTTCATAGATATTTACTTAAATAAACCGAAAATAATGACCATGGGTGGGAAAAATACAGTGGATACTGGAGCAACTTCTGACTTACTGCTGGCTCCCCCATTGAGTTTCCTTGTGGGAATTTGGCCAGGAGCATCAAAAATCTTCTCCCTCCTCCATCTCAATCAACAAAATAAGAAACACCAACCAAAGGAAGAAAATTTTATCGAAACTGAACATAATAAGGAACACTTAACTAACACTTTTAGAGACAGACCAATGGCAAATTGTCATTCATAGAAGGGAAAAACCACTCAAACTCAATCCAGTCTAGGTGCTGGAGCTAAACAATCAATTTCCTGTTGGAAAAAAGTGTGCAGACACCTGAAGAGGAGACATCATCAAGGGTACCAATTGTAGGGTGGAGAGAGCCAAAGAGATGGGGCCACAGGTGGTATTTTCTTCTACTCCCGATGAAAGGTAGGCATCCAATGAGGGAACACAGAACTTTTGAAGTAAACCATTACCTTAGAAGATAGTGCCATTAAGAGAACTTTGGAATCCTAGACCATGATCTATAATACCTACCTGAGGGGCTTCTGGACAGGGATGGGCTACATCTCACAATAACAGGGAAATTTTCACCAACTGTAACTGGCTGACCAACCACACTCAACATGAAGTCCTCAATGTAACTACTTCTACATGGAGGGAAGCATGCAGTTCTGTCTTAGCCAGTACTCTTCAACATCTTCATAAAAGATTTAGATTTTGGGAATTCATCAAATTTGCAGATGATACTAATCTGGAGGAAATAGCCAGCACTTTAGAACAGTGATTCCCAATGTTTTTGGCTCTGCAGAGCAGCAGCGACAGTGGAATAGAGGTGGAGGTGATAGTTTAACATGTAAACTCTTCGCTTGCGTTGCCTGATTCCCAATGGGCCGTGGTCTAGTACTAGTCTGCAGACCAGGGGATGGGGACACCTGCTTTAGAAGATAGGCTCAAGATCGAGAAGGATCTTGACCGGCTTGTACGCTGGGTCTTATTCATCAAAATGCAATTCAGTGGTGAGACCGCAGTAACTGTTAGAGAGAACTAGGAGTACCATTTAAATATGAGCCAGTAGTGTGGTGCGGTTCCCAAAGAAATCCAATGCAGTTCTAGGTTTCATCAACAGATAGTATCAAGGTAAGTACTACTTTATACTGCTCTGATAAGACTACACTTGGAATGCTGTGTCCAGTTTTGGCTACCATGATATAAAAAGATGTTGAAGGTTTAAAAAGGGTGCAGAGACGAGCAACAAAGATGAGAGAGGTAGTTTCCTGAGATGGTACTCATAAATTTATTGGAAGTCAATATGGCTTGCAGAGCAATGATATTGCATGGCATTTGTATTCTGAATTTAAGAAAAATTATTACTGTTCCCTTGTTATTCTCTTATCTCCAAAGCAAAAATACAAGATCTGTAACTACCTTAAGCAGTCCTCAATGCATCCGGTCATATAATCCCACAGAAAATCTGTGTTTAAGGATGTGATCAACATGTTAGCTGTTTTAACAATCTCAGATGCATTCTTGTTTTCTTTTATTGCACTAAAAAGAGAATAAACAATATTTAGTAAATATATGTAGAAGAATATATATATATTTAAAGTAAGACATATTATGTTAATAATAAATAAATGTATTTAAGGTGATGGTACAAAACTTGTAACTAGGTATTCAGAAATGAAACTGAAAACTTAAGTCCCTACCTGTCCTGAAATTTAAGTCTGAGTTATAGGATGAGCCAAGTTTAGCACCACTCTTTTCCAACATAACCATTCTTCTTTTACATTCAAGCAGTATTATGGAGTCCCAAAGGTTTTTTTTTCAAGAGGCAATTGGACTTTGAAGAAAAACCAGACTGGTTCTAAATCACCTAGCTGACTTTATGACTGAGACACAATTAGAACTCACGGCCTTCCAGTTTCTAACCCAATGCCTTTAGCTACTGTAACAAACTGGCTTTGTGTTAACCCAGAAAGAGTCATATTTCTGATAGACTTTTGCAACTACTGATTTAGCAGAGACCCCCCCATAGCAAGTTTCCTGTAGCAGTAGAAACAGGACATTCTCCTAGCTTGCAAAATGTTCAATTACTTTCAAAGCATGTTTTGAAGAACTGGATACAAGAAAATATGTAATTGTGATCAGAAATATAGTAGCAGTATCCAACAACCGGGAAAAAAATAGATGTATAATTTATTTATTTAGCTACATAAGTAAACAGAAAACAAACTATACCTTGTAAGGACATTCCCAGTTTGACTATAGCTAAGTTTAAGATCAGAACCCAGTGTTTCTTTGCAATATCTATAGAATGCTCTGATCACTTCAAGAAATAAGTCCGCAATGACTAATGGGCCTACAATAAGGGAAATATAAAGGAATCCAATATTTAAACACTTATTTACACATGTGAATTATCTTACTATAAAGTTATATTGACACAACTTCATCTCTGCAGTTCAATGTATTATTACATACAGTAAATATTAAGAGCATTGTTAGGATTTCACACATGATTAGCAATATGACTACAACAGAATCTCAATATTCCACATAGATCAATTTTATGTTAACTATATTTATTTTGCAGAAGCAGCAGTCTCAGTTGATACATCAATTGAATTGTGCAAGTGTACTTTTTATGCTTTCATAATGGAAATTAATTTAATATCAGACTTCTGGTTTCTATGTACTTTTTCATTTGT